AAAAAAAAAAAAAAAGAAAGAAAGGAGATCCACCCTCTCAAACGTGGGTGGGCATCATCTAAGCAGTTGAGGGTCTGCAGGGAATGAAAAGGCAGAATTGGGACATTCCATCTTCTCTTGTCCTTAGAGACACTGGAGCATCTGACTCTCACGCCTTTGGATTCTAGGACTTATACCAGCCCCTTCTCCACTTGCCTCCCCCGTCTCAGACCTTTGGCCTCAGACTGGAAGTTATAGTATTAGCTTTCCTGGTTCTTCAGCTTGGAGGTGGCATACTGTGGGACTTCTTGTACTCACATAAGCCAATTCCCTTAATAAATCTCCTCTTAAATGTCTGTGTATCCCATGTTTGTGCTTCTCTGGAGAACCCTGACTAATACTAGTAACTAGCTAGTTACTAACTAATAACTAGCAAGTAACTGCCCATGTGCTAATACTGTGCTGGGTACTGGATATTCAGGGTGAATTAAATTACTCAGGATGTAATAATGCATTAGGGGGAGTGATCAATAGGACTTGCAGATTTACATTCCACTATAGATTCCTACTTTAATTCCAGTGTGGTCAGACAAAACCCTGTATGATTTTACTATTTTAAATTTGTTAAGATCTGTTTCATGGCCCAGAGTATGACCTATCTTGGTGTATATTGTTTGTGGGTACTTGAACAGAATGTGTACTTGGCTGTTTTGGGATGCTCTATAAATGTCAATGAGGTTGACATTTACTGGTTGATGGTGCTGTTGAGTTCTTCTATATCCCTGCTGATTTTCCATCTAGTTGTCCTATCAGTTATTGAGAGGAGTGTGGAAGTTTCTAACTATAACTATGGGTTTGTCAGTTTCTGTTTAGTTCTATCAGTTTTTGCTTCACATATTTTGCAGCTCTCTGCATGGTGCCTACACATTCAGGATTGCTCTGTTACCATGGGGGATGAATTCTTTTTATCACTATGTAATAGTCCTCTCTGTCTCTGTCAATTTTATCTGAGGTGTACTTTATCTCATAATAATATAGCCACTCTTGCTTTCTTTTGACTAATGGTTACATAATATATTTTTCTATCCTCTTACTTTTATAATGTAATTGTTTAGTGATAGGGTCTCACTATGTTGCTCAAGCTGGGGTGCAGTGGTTCTTCACAAGTGTGATCACAGCTCACTTTAACCTCACTTTAAGTGATACTCCTGCCTCAGTGTCCTGAATAGCTGGGACTGTAAGTGTGAGCCACTATGCCCAGCTATCTTTTTACTTCTAATCTGCCTTTAGTATTATATTTGAAGTATGTTTCTTGTAAATAGCATACAGTTGGGTCATGTTTTTTAATCTACTCTGCCAATCTCTAGTCTTTTAATCAGCTTACTTAGGCCATTTACTTTTAATGTAATATAATGTATAATGTAATGTAATGCAGTATATTAGGCCATTTTCTTGTCTTTCTGTGGATCATATTAACATATTTTAGAATTCCATTCTGACTTAGCTATAGGGTTTTTAGTGTATCTCTATATAAAGGTCTTTTTTTAAAAAGGGTTTCTCTGCATATTACATAAATTATCACAGTCTATTAGTGTCATTTTTTTACCAGTTCAGGCAAAATGTAGAAGCTTTACATTTATTGATAATTTTCTTGAACATTTCCTCTACATACATTTAGACCAACAGTGGACAGTGTTATAATTTTTGTTTCAGCAATCAAGCATGATTTACATCACTAAAAAGGAGAAGAATGTATTGTGGTAATATTTTTACTTTAACAATTTTTTTCTTCTCAATGTTCCAAGACTCCTTTCATTATTCCTTTCTGTTTATAGGAATTTATACAGCTATTCTTTTAAGGCAGGTTTAATGTCTTGATTTCCTATTCATTCCTGAAGGACATTTTCTCTGACTACAGAATTCGGGTTGTGACACTTCCTTTTTTTCAGCACTTGAACAATGTGCCATTTTTTATGTCCAGTTTTTTACAAGAAACTGTTATCATTCAAATTGCTTTTTTACTTAAAGGGAAGGCATAATTTCTCTCTCATTGATTTCAAAATTATTTTTGTTTTAGTTTTCAGAAACTTTACTAGAATATGTCTTAGCACATTTCTTTGGATTTATCTTGTTTAGGATTTACTTAGCTTCTTGAATCTATAGGTTTATTCTTTTTGCCAAATTTGGCAAATTTTGTCATTATTTGAGTACTTTTTTACTCCCACCTTATTTTTTCCTCTCCTTCCAGATACACGGTAATGTGAATAGTAGATATAGTAGAACTAATTGGTCAACGTATGGAAGTGGTCAACATAAGGAAGTAGGCCTATTGCACCGATACATATATGTGGTGCATGTTTAGTCTATGAAAATTAGGTCAATTTAAGGAGTTGGTCAGTGTAAGGAGGTGATCAGCTACAGAGGTTCTACTGTGTTTTACTGTAGTCCCATTGACTCTGAGGCTCTTTTCTTTTACTCTGTTTTCTCTCTGTGAAAATTAGGTAATTTCTATTCTTGTCTTCAAGTCACTAATTCTTTTCTCAGTCCCCATCTGCTCATGAATCCATTCACTGAATATTTTATTTTGGTTACTGTATTTTCTGTCCTAGAATTTATATTTGGTTTTTCTTTGTATCTTCCATTTCATTTCTGAGATATTCTATTTTTTTGCTAAAACCTTCTATTTTTCATTTGTTTCAAGTATTTTAGTAATTGCTCATTGAGGCATTTTTAAGATGGCTGCTTTAAAATCTTTGTAAGATAATAAAATCTTTGTCATTTCAGTGTTGGTGTTCATTGATTATCTTTCAAGTTAAGATTTTCCTAGTTTTTGGAGGAATAAATGATTTTCAATTTTCTGAAACCTGTACATTTGGGGTATTATAAGATTCTGTATCTTAAATGT